GAATTGACATCTTTGCTCTTGAACACTTAAAAGAGGTCTTGTGCAGCAGATTTGCCTAATGCAATACCTCGTTTGATTTCTTGACTGATGCTTCCATGAGTGTTGATGGTTGATTCAGGCAAAATCAAATCTTTGACAACTTCAATCTTTTCTCCATGTATATGTTGTTGTTGTTGTTGTTAGATGCCATCGAGTTGGTAACGACTCATAGAGACTTTATTCACAGCAGAATAAAACACTGCTGATCCTGGGCCAACCTCACTACTGTTATGGATGCTATTTATTGGTCCAGTGAGGATTTTTGTTCTTTTTACATTGAAAGACTGTTGTCTTTGATCTTCATCAGTAAGTATTTTAAGTCCTCTTTGCTTTTAGCAAGCAAACGGTATCATCTGCACATTGCAGGTTGTTAATAAATCATCCTTCAATCCTGATGCCACAATTTTCTTCATGTAATCCAGTTTCTCGGATTATGTGCTCATCATACAGATAGAATAAATATAGTAAAAGAATACAACCCTGGAACACACCTTTCTTGATTTTAAACCATTCAGTTTTCCCCTGTTCTGTTGAACAACTGCCTCTTGGTCTATGTACAGGTTCCTCATTAGTACAATTAAGTGTTCTGAAATATTCATTCTCCACAATGTTGTCCATTGCTTGTCATAATCCATTATGTTGAAAGTGTTCCTACTCAGTGCAAACAGGCAATTCACATGGAAACGTGAAAGTTAATGGGAGAAAAGAAGAAGTGAGTTTTGTTCATAAGACTCTTTTTCCAGTCCATAGGGCAATTTTATGTATGGCTGAGAAAACAGAACATGAACTTGCTGTAAACACATATGCTGCCTTTGAACTCAATCTACTCTTTTACCTGTTCATCAGCATATGAGCCTGGTTGACCTCAGGGAAGAAACCTTCACTAGGTTTCTCTTGGTAAATGGAATATGTTTGGTAATATGACCGAGTGTCTTGGCTACTCTGATCAGTTGTTTTGACAGAGCTGTTTTGAAGCCACTCTAATCTGAAAGTACTGATACTTGTGACATTTTTTGTTTGTTTGTTTGTTTATTTTAAGTGCCATGGAGTCAGTTTCCACTCATAGGGATTTCTAAGGAATGACTGAGAACTGCCCACATTGTGATGAGCAGTCCAGTGCTTATCCTACCTACCACACCAAGACTTATTATTGTTGTTGTTAAGTGCCATCAAGTTGATTCCGACCCACAGTGACCCTGTATAGGGTTTCTAAGGAGCAGGCGGTGAGTTTGAACCACTGACCTTGCATTTCAAATGACTTTTCAGTCTGACGCGTTAGCCCACAGCATTACACCAGTACTCTTTATAGCAACCTAAAAAATAATCTTCCAACACTTTTCATAGTTATCCCTGACTCATTTCACTAAGTTAACTCCTGAGGGTTCATGAATATGGTGAAGGTGGGGTAGGACTTAGAGGTAGGGTATAATATTACATAAGAGTTATTTGTTATGGACATTAATTACTAAATTTAAAAAGTGATATTCTGTTCTTTCCAAGGCTCCATAAAAATGGCCTCTGCCATTTTGTCCTCTATCAAACCAACTTTGTTCTTTGTACATTAGTGAAAACTCTATCTCCAAGTAAATGCATGCTCTCTGAGGAACGCTGGTGGTGCAATAGTTAAAGCACTTGACTGTTATCCAAAACCTACCAGATACTCTGAAGGAGAAAGAAGTAGCCGTCTGCTTCCATAAAGAGTACTGCCTTAGAAACCCTATGGGGGTATTTCTATTCTTTCCATTAGGGTCCCTACCTCATCCTCTCTGCCACTTCTCTAGTTAAAGTGCTCATCTCTTAAGTGACCATTTCTAGTCTATGTTATAGTTACCCTGTCCCCAGTGACCCCTCATGAAGTCCATCCAACACACATGGGTACAACCAAAGCCTTTCTATAACAGATTCAATCACTTCCCTGTCTTTTGTAAGACAGATCAAGAACCTCTGCAACACTCTTGAGAAGATGAGAATACAACAAGAACAATGAAACAAAGGAGGCATTAACAAACTTGTAGGCATTTGAGAAATTATATTTATTTGATTCTAATCCAAAAGATACAACTCCAAAAATGTAAAATGCAGACTAAAAAAAAAAATTAAGGGAATCTTTCTTAAAAGTATAAAGAGCTTAAACTTTATTTTTTAACTTACAGGAAGAGAGCCAGCCTAGGTCTACTCATGGAAGGGAATATTCCAGAGTTCTGAAAACAATCTTACTTGCCTGTTTTAGAATGTTTACTGAAGGTACTTCCTTCTCTGTCTTACATCACTGCCCACGGCCTACCTAACAAGTTTGACTTCAGCAATATCAAACTACTCGCAATTTCCTAAATGCACTCTGTTATTTTACACTGCTAAGGTTTTCTTTAGAAAATCCTCTGTCTGTAATGTCTTTGCTTAGCAAATGGATCGATCCTTCAAAACCCAGCTCAAGCAAGCACCACCTTCCTTCTGAGGATCATTTCCTCACATCTGCAGATTCTTTTCTCTATTTCAACATTGACCTTCTATACCTGTCTCCAATATACTTCAAATAAAACATTATACTTACTTGAGTTATGGTTATTGTATACCCTTATAGACTTGAGAATACTTAGTGACAGAAACCATGCCTTTTTCATCTAAGGTTATTTTGTTACAGAGTTCCTGACACAATAATGTATTCAATACATGTGCAAATTAATGAAAATTTGTAAGGGATTGATTATTATTATTTATGACTTCATTCTACCTATGATTGTCCCAGCATAAGTGTTTGTGTTTGTGTGTGTGTGTGTGTGTGTGTGTGTGTGTGCGTGTTTTGCTGACTGCCTTTGTTTGATCACTTTTGAGTTCAATGGCTGGTGCCAGAGGATGTCAAGGAAAATTTTGACACCGGATTTTAAAAAGGTGTCTAGTCCTTGAGGAACAAGCAAAAGAACCATGGTATTAAGGGCTAAAACCCAAAAAACTATTCACAAATGTAATTGAATTTTATTACATGGATTGGCACACAAATGTCTGAGGATGTGCAATGGCACTGTAGTATGTTATTAAATTCTACAGGTAAAAAGACAGAACCAATATTCCCAAAATGGCCCATTAATTTCATCTTTAATTTCTACAGTACAGCTTGGGAATGTAATTTAAAAATCCAATCTTGTTGAAACCATTAAAGTGTTTTTCCAGAGTCCAAATAGTATCCAGTTAGTTCTTTGTATATTAATCATGACTGCAGTCTGTCAGTATGACCAGTTTTTTCCACTACTTAACTGAAGATAGCATCATTTCCATTGTGCTACTGCCTGAAAGTACTGAGAAATGTAAGCTATAAAATGGAACTTGTCAAGAAATATTCATGGAGAAGGATAGGCATATCCTTTTATAGTGCTTATAAACATACGCTGACTTTTATTCCCTGAGATAATCAGAAGACTAACTTGAAGGAAATAAAAGTAAAATACAATAGGATTACAAAAATAAGGACGAGCTAAGGAAAAATATTTTGAGTACCAGATGAAATCTAAACAGATAAATAAATAAAAAAACAATAATACATTCATGGTATTGGTATGTGACTCAGACAATTGTTACTCAGTTATGCAACTGGAGACTCTTTGAAGAATCTTGCAATAGACTCATAGGAGGAAGGTAGGAAAACAAGTCTTTCTCCAGATACCCATCTGGATTCAACTAGTTAGCAGTCTAGATGAAGGGGAAAATGGATTCCTGGTGGTTTAAGGAGCAAATGCTCCAGCTAGACCTTGTCATCTCCCAGAATGAGGGAACTCAAGGCATAAAGGAATCTGGTTCATGCTAAGATGAGTCTGTGCTTGAAGAGGAAAGGGACATATTATATCCTTTCCTCTGGTTCAAGTTGACGCACTAGTACCATTTCCACACCTAGGAAATTGTTGTAAAATCAGAATTTAAAATTATGGGGAATTATGATGTCTATGTTTGAGAATTTTTGATTTGACAGAAACAGAAAAGAAAGGTAAGTAAAAATCTCTATTTTGGTGACTCAGAATTCCCAGAAGTGTAACAAAATTCACAAAATCTGAAGTCAATTGCTCAAAGGGACAGTGTGTGATGGAATCTATCTCATTAAGAGTAGAAGAGAAACTTGTTTGTGAGTATGTTTGCAAAGGTCAAGGTTCTAGTAAATCATCACATTTTTCAAAGTTTGCTTTTGACTCACATAAATCATGTAAGGAATCTTCAAAATACTCAAAGAGTGAATCGATCCACTCACCCCTCACTAAAGTCTTGGTGTAACTGTTTGTTACTTGAGCTTTATCAGTGGGTTTTCCTTAAGTGTTATATATTTAAAATTTTTCCACCTGCTTTAAGAATTTATTTTGTTATTCAACTCAGCAGTAAAATCTGCTTTGTCTGCTGAAAAGTTCTATTGCAGCTTTTCTGAATATTTTTGTGGTTACAGTTCCTCTTCTGAACCATAAAGACTCCCCCCAGATACAGCCCTCCCCCACACACATACTCATAGGCACATTTAGTGCTGTGTATATAACAGTTCATAGGCCTCCCAGATCCCAGAATTCTATCTATGGATGCCAGGTGAGGAATTCCTACTTTATTAATTTTGTATTGTTCTGGTCTTAGACAAAACTGCAAAGACAGGCAAGTCTGTCCTGGTTTAGTTATCCTGTGTTTCCTTTGCAGTGGTTAATTACAAAGTGACTACACTATGCAAGCTAGAGTCAGTTCTAGGAAATAAGAATAAATTCACTGCATTTTTTCTTATTTTTAAAGACTCTAGATATTCCTTATACTCTGTTCTTTCTGTATCCCAATAATCTATGTTGGTCAATATTTAAAATCTGGTAAATCTTTAAAAATTTTTTGAGCTAAACATCTCACACAAATGACATTTTAACCTAAGCACAAAGGTTCAAATTGGTTTTTAAGTAGCTGCTTATGAGAACAGTTTTAAAAGACTTGTAAAACCATGGCAGATTTACCTGGTAAAAATAATTCTCTTTGGAGTTTGGCTCTGGCCTGCTGGGAAAAGCATCTTTTCTTCAGCCAGTCAGCTTCAAATTCACTGCAGTGTTCATCTGGCCACGTAATATACACCTTACAATAGAGAAAGCCAATATCACCGATATATACATTATGCTTCTAAATGCTTCAGTTCTCTGCTGACCTGTGTTTATGAATGCTATTTAAGATAATTAGGAAATACAATTATTTTTTGTTTTTGTTTTTAATTATACATTCACAGAGATAGAGTACAGTTTTGGAAAACAAGGAAACTACAAGTCAAGGGGATACACTTGAAGTGAAGCCCCTAAGTACCAAGCAAGAAATTGAACCTGACTGGGCCTGACATTCATCAATATGTGGTTCTCCAACATTTTTTGATTATTTGAAATTATCTATTGATAAAGATCCTTGCCAAGGCTATTAGAAAAGTAATGATAATAATGCTAACAGTAATAATAACAAAATACCACTTTTGAGAGCTTCTTATAAGCAGGCACTAAGGAGCTCTGGTAGCGTAGTGGTTACAAATCGGGCTGCGAACCTTAAGGTCAGCGGTTCGAAACTACCAGCCGCTCCGCAGGAGGAAGATGAGGCTTTCTACTCCCGTAAGGATTTACACCCTCGGAAACCCTGTACAGGGTCGCTATGGGTCGGACCCGACTCGATGGCACTTAACAACAACAACAACAACAAGTGCTTTATAAAAATAATTCCCTTAGTCCTCATAACAATAGCAGAGATGGTACTACTATTATTCCCATTTTTTAGGTGAGGAATAGAAAACATTTCTAAGGTCACTCAGCTAGCAAGCAGTTAAACCTAAAATCTGAGTAGCTAGGAGTACAGGATTGTGAGGGGAGAGGGTGATTTTACTGGCCACGTTATCTCTTCTAATAAGAACTCAATAAATTCAGAATAGAGAAATATGGGTTGGTAACATTTGGTTAGGGAACCCTGATGGAGAAATGGTTAAAGCGCTAGTCTGGTAATCCAAAAGTCAGCATTTTGAATCCACCAGCGAGCTGCTCCATAAAGATTTACACTCTTGAAAACCATATGAAGGCAGAGTTCTACTCTGTCCTATAGAGTTGCTCTGAGTTGAAATGGACTCAACCACAGTGGTTTTTTGGTTTTGAGAAACCCCAAATGACCTTGCATGTGCATCCACTAATTTGACTCAAACTATTAGTCAGTGCTATATTTTGAGTGGGACTCCTGGTGTGGCACTGTAGGAGCAGCACTGGACTGCAAACCTCAAGGTCGGCAGTTCAAATCCACCAACTGCTCCTCATAACCCTATTCAGGGTCTCTGTGACTCGGAACTGATTTGAAGGTACTTAACAACAATAACATATTTTAAGTGTTCACTGTATGCCAAGCACAGTGCTTAACATTTCCCCAGTTTCTCATTGAATTCTCTATGAGCAAGTTCTTTCGTAAGCCTATTTAACAGGTGAGTAAAGTGAGATCCAAAAGCGTGAAAAGCATTACTGGTGATGTAGAAATAATTTTGGTTGTGTCCTAAAGGCTACCATTACTAAAAAAATGATGAGTAATCCTATAAATTTCATGTAAAACTAGAAATAATGATGTTAAAAATGTTAGATAATAGTAGAGAATGCCAGTTATTGAGCTTGCTTATTTTGCACCATGTACTGTACTGCTAATATTAAATATATATAAATGATCACATGAAAACAAATTACCTGTTCAAATTTTTGGGGACTAGCCTGTTTATTTAATTTGGGAAAGAAAGAGGAGTAAAGGAAACTATTTTTTAGAGATAATTACCTTTTTTCTGTCAAAAGTTAATTCTTTAATTCCAATATTCACGTCCAGACCTTCAATGAGAAGTTTACGGGCTTTTGCTGAATCCAGGTAGCAGTTGGAGCACTGACAGTTGTCTCTCAACCATATTGCTGGATAGAATGACTCTATACCATCATGCCATAGAATCTGCATCAAATGAGCTCCATCCAGTACCTCTGCCCTTTGGATGATACAACGCATGTTTCTCTTCTTAAGGGGTCAATCTTGTCAGTTACCTGTTATGACAAATCAGTGTTAAAAAGAAACACAGGAGATTGGGCCTGAACTTGATCTGTAAGAATATTAACAGTTCAAATGAATTCTGGCCTCTGCTAATCACACATCAGCCAGAGTCCATGGATTGACTTTTCAACACTGAGACCTTTGTTCTAGTGAAAGTATTTCAGATGCTGTAAACAGAGGCACAGTGACCAAAGGTAAATACGATTATGTGCTGAGTCAGGGTCCAGATGAAAACCACTGCTTGATATTCTCACAGAAACTTTAGATAATGAGTTTAGAACCAATGACATATGAATGTTTATAATTATATTTGCATAAAAGCCCTGGGATATTTTAAGGCAGAATAATAATCATACCTGTGCTATTTTAACTGACACCCCAATTCACAAAGTATAGAGTGTGAACAACAGAAAAATCTGTGGTTTCCCTGGAGCACAATGTTGTGAGGGGAAGAGTGGTTGAGAGAAATTCAAAGGCATGTTGGAACCAGATCCTGGAAAATGAGGCGTATGGACTTCCTTTTGTTATAAATGGAAACTCTGAATTTTTTTACGTGAAAGATTGACATTATTACATGGAATAATTTTATTAGAAATGTGGTCATGGTGATGTGTATAGTGCATTGCTGTTGTTATTATTAGCAGCAATCAAATCAGTTTCAACTGATAGTGATCTTATGCACAATGGAGCAAAACATTACTCAGTCCTGTGTCATCCTCACAATTGTTGTAGCCTTACAATTGTTGGTATATTTGAGCCCATTGTTGCTGCCACTGTGTCAATCCATCTCTATGGGGTCTTCCTCTTTTTGAGTAGACTCTCCTCTTCACTAAGCATAATGTTCTTTCCCAGGGACTGATCTCTCCTGACAAGTCCAAAGAACAAGAGCTGAAATCTTGCTATCCTCTTCATATAATCCACTTTCTTGAATATTTGCTCAGTATACAGAATAAATAAGGACACAATCCCGATTTAAAGTATTCGGTATCCTCTTATTCGGTTCTTAACAACTGCATCTTGGTCTATGTACAGGTTCCTCATGAACACAATTAAGTGTTTTGAAATACTCATTCTTCCTAATGTTATCCAAAGTTTGTTATGATCCACACAAGTAAATATTTATTGTTGTTAAGTGCTGTTAAGTCAGTTCTGACTCATAGCAACCCAATATAGGGTTTCCAAGGAGCAGCTGGTGAGTTTGAACTACGAATCTTTCGGTTCAAACAGAGTTTGTGGTACAGTGCTATATTCTACAATGTCACACCAGGACTTCACAAGGAATACAAATTGAAATGTTTCAGCAAACTCATTCAGTGTTAAAGGCACTCATGTGTCTACCAACATAATATAGAAATTATTGAAAAATGTCATTACTATTATATTATAAGCAAAAGTCTGAAGATAAGTCAATAATGGTTACAGGAATACATCCATGGGTAATTGCCAGAAACTCAAGGCAGATTTAGAAGAGAATATGGATGAGGCATATCATTGCTGGGGGTTAGGTTTTTAAGCAAATATGTGTATATATATATATGTTTGCTGTTAAGTGCTGTGTAGTTGTCTCTGTTTCACAGAGACCCTGGATAGCATTTCTGAGGAGTGGCTGGGGAGTCTGAACCACTGACCTTGTAGTTCAAATGACTTTGCAGTCCAGCTCATTAACCCACAGCGTCACACAATGACTCTCTCTCTCTACCTATATATTCATATATATATAATCATATATATATATGAGTTTTTCTGAAGTTCTTTCAGTTTGAGAAGTGCTGATATGTACTTCTCTTTGCCTTCTTGAGGTGCCCTTTGAGTATTTCTGTTCAGCTCTATTATTTCTTAATTTCTTCCATTCACTTTAGTGTCTCTGTGCTCAAGAGCAAGTTTCAGAGTTTCTTCTGACTGCATTTTGGCTTTTTCTTTCCTGTCTTTTAAATGACCCTTTGCTTTCTCCCTGTATGATGTTTTTGATGCTAGCCCATAACTCTTCCGGTCTTTGGTCATTAGTGTCTAATAAATCAAAGCTGTTTTTTTTTTTTTTTTTTAAGTTTTTATTGTGAATTGAGTGAAAGTTTACAGGGCAGATCATCAGATCATCATTCAACAAACCACACACCTTGGTTCATTGCAATGATTATAATCCCCTCCATACACCATCAGTTGATAGTATTTCTCTCTATTCATTTTAGCTCTTTTTTTTTTCAAAGCACACAGGCATACATAATAATTTAAACCACCAAAGAGCACATTCTGAGAGTCTGCCTCCTGTCTGCTAACTCTCAGTCCCCCTCTTTCCGTGAATCCAGAATTCTCAGCTGCTCCCTTTCTCCCTGTCCCTAGCTCTGCCTCCATCTCTGGTGTTGCTGCTTCTCTGGATAAGGTCCCGCATTCTGCTTGTGTTCTTTTCCCTTGATGGTCCTAGGGCCTCTGTTTCTGGATTGCAAGACAAACGATTCTGCTGTTTATGTTGCAGAACTTTTACCTTTACAATTGTGACAGTTGCAATTAGTCATGATAACAATCACTCACTATTGAATCATAAGAATCTTATCCCCATCTCTTTTTACCAGGCCCATCTAGACAAAATGACAACTCTTCAGTGGGGACTCTCTCTTCCCCCACACACTCTTAAAATAAACTCCCTCTTGAAACCTTGTAAGTCAGTCACTTCGTGCCTTTATCGTGCCCTCATTTTAGGTAGCTAATGTCTAAGTTGCCTGTCCCTCTCTACCCTGTGTACAGAGGGGATAAGATTGATACTTGATGTGAAGACTCCTTTCCTCTCTGTTGGAATTTTGAGCTACTACCTCCGTGAGTATAGGTCAAGTTCATCAAATTGTAACAATTTACCTGCATTTCCTTTTTTTTAAATTTTTTTTATTTTTAATCTTCCTCTAGTTGAGTTCTGATTATCGAGCCATCAAGGCTAGGTCAAAGGGGTATTATGTGCAAGTTTGGGTGTTCTTGTGCTCTCCCCTAACTTCATATCACTTTCACTCTCAGCTCTAGCCCTCTGTGGTTATGTCCTTGTCCATGGGCTCAAGTGTCCCCAGGTCTCACCACACTTTGAACCAACCAGCCCTAACTCTTCTCTCTCTCATCTTCAGGTCAATGAGAGTCTATGGAATGTGGTTGAGCTCAGTCCATTTCGTCATTGCTGCCTTTCCTCCTCCTCCACTCACCAGTAGACCAATGTGGTTGCCAACAAGTTTATATGCTGGCACATGTGTTCCCTTTGAGTTTCAGTCTTAGAGGGGTTTGTCCTGAAGGGAATTGATTGCTTGCTTTGATGGCTTCCAGTGAACAACTTGCTTATTCTTGTAGTAGTCAACCACTTTTGTTTTGGGATTTTCCTGATAATCTTTCTTTAAAGATGTGTCTTCTGTCACTCAGCTGTTCCAGGGTGGTCTGTTTGTCCTTTCTAGTGGGACTGTCCCACATCAGAAGGTTTTGGATGGGGCTCAGGAGTCCACCTAAGGTCCTATATACTGCAAAGGCTCCACAAGAGACCTATTTCACTGGGCAAGTTCTAGAACCCCTTTTTGGTATTCCAATCAGTTGTAGGCTGAAGACGGGCTTACAAGCTTTCTGTAATCATGTTTCCTGACATTTCTTTCTATCCACCTCAAGTGTCTATTTCACAATAGTAGGCAAGGGAGACCAGTATTCATAAGATAGTGAAGCATCTTAGTATTATTTTCCCTCTTCAGCCTCAATCCTTTTATCACAGAACCCTGTTGTTCCAAGGTTTGAGTGTGCATCACTATTTACTTGTGTGCCATTTAACCCATGCAAACTTGTCTCAGTGTTCCCTATCTACCTTGTTCTTCTACCCCTCCCCCTTCTTGTGCATTGTCCTCCCCAACAACTGAACTATGATGTGTCTGCTCCCTACCCTTTGCTCTACTGTTGCCTCCCTCCACCTCCCCCAACCCACTCCGGCCCACCCCCGGCCACTGGTAACCAACAAAGAATTTTTTTTTTTTTCTTCTCCTTTTAGTATGGGTATCTTTTCTTAAGCTTTTACAATAATAGACTTGTGCAATATTTGTCCTTTTGTGACCAGCTAATTTCACTCAGCATAATGTCTCTGGTAGTATGGTGGTTATGAATCAGGCTCCAACCACAAATACAGCAGTACAAAACTACCAGCTGCTCCGTGGGGGAAAGATGAGTCTTTCTGCTCCCGTAAAGATTTACAGCCTAGGAAAACCTGTAGAGGGTCACTGTGGGTCGGAACCTACTCCATGGTCATCACCACCACCATCACCAATGTCCTCAAGGTTCATCTATGTTATGTGGTGGCTTACAGCTTCCTTGTTATTCTTCAGTGTAGCATAATATTCCATTGTGTGTATGTACCAAAGTTTGTTTATCCATTCTTCCATTGATGGACACTTAGTCTGTCTCCATGTTTTTGCTATTGTGAATAGTACTGCTATGAACATTAGTGTGCATATATCTACTCGTGTTATGGCTCGTATTTCTTGTGGATAAATACCAAGTAGAGGAATTGCTGGATC